GAATCTATCACAAAGTAAAATATATTTCCTTTATTTCAAAAGATCTTAAATTAATAAACTAAAACTTTTCATAGATCGTGAATAAAAGATAATTATCGGTAACTTGAGTCAAGGTGTAGAGAGTTTCACAAGATATCTCTCAATTACTGTCGATGTCTGGACTCAGAATCATTGTTCAAACTAAGGTGCCTTTTATGACTTTAAGCTATCTAAAATGACACTTAATTTTGTAAACATTAAAAATTACTAGTATTCTATTTAATCTGAATACGAATCATATTCATGTTAGTGAGTGGCACAGATGAATGACCCTTGTGGTAAATATACACTGTGCAAAATAGTTAAAGGTAAACGGACATTGTAATTTTTCTCGTTTTTTGTTATTATCTTAGGCGTTTTAAGTCCCCACACTTACTGCTGAGCCACTATGAAGCTGGAATTTCTAATATCTTACAACCACGACAAGGCAAAACCATTGTTTCAAAGTATATCCATCTCCATCCTCAGCAATGCAGGTAAATGATCGTTCAACCTACATTATATATATATATATATATATATATATATATATAGTGGAGTCACTACTTTAAAAGAGGTGCATAAAGTATAAAGAATACAAAATTATTCATGAACCGATATTAGACCGATAGTTCACCGATGAGGAGAGCCTTTATATGAATAGAGAACTACCAATGACAATAAGGTTTGCGAAGTGGTTACGTGACAGACGACCGCTATCACTCGATTCTAGTAGTCTTTCACTGTCGTAGTGTCTCCTCCAAGACTGAATAAGATATTTGTAGCCGTAAATGGACCCAGTAATAGTGTGTAGACTGTCAGAAATATACTTCACGCCCATTTAGAGGTATTAATTTCAAAACAAGACACAAAAATAATTCATATACACTGGTGTCAAGAACACATCCAGTGAGCAAAGGGCAGTTGGAATAATATTCATTTTATGTTCCATTCTATACCTAGATAACACGTTTAGACTCATTTGGAGTGAATCTATGACCAGATCGAATCCAATGTTTATACAAGTACGTGCAACTTTGGTAAACTTTTCAATCTTTACATTGCAGGACAGTGCAACTAACGTCAGAAATTATCCCCATACAACCGGTTGTGCTGTCGTGTAGTGGTGTAACTGGCCCAGATGGATAGCAGCCGTGTTAATCCGTTCGACATATTCCTTGAAGAAAACTGAATATATCGAATAGCATAGCCTATATTAAGCATGGATGCATGATCTTGACAGACGAGTTGCATCCCGTCAGTTTATTACAGATGCTACAGCTCTTTCGGAGTAGTGATCGAGATTATGTCAGAGCCTTAAGAACATTTTGATTTTACGTTTGCATCATTGAGCTAGTCTGTATTATTTGTTTGTTACTACCATAACAGGTATTTAAGTAAAATTGTATGCATTGTAACGATGTAAAAACACTTCTATGATCATATATTCACTTACAAACAACGGGAAATAGTCATACGTTTGCATTTCAGCTTAAATGACATAACATGAGATGTCTAGTTTGCATAAAAATTAGCTGAGGAGGTGAAATAATAGTACTCTTTACCTGGCATCAAGGTTTGGCAGAGCCTGCTGATTCGGGCACTCGGCTCACAATTACAATGGCGACATAATGATTTGAAGTTCATTCCACTATTCATGAAACGGTGTGTCTCAGTGGCTTCGCACTTTGGAGTCGTAGTCGAATGATTGTGTGTTTGTGACTGGTTTGAGTCGTGATGTTGTATTCTTGAGCAAGACACTCTACCTCGTTTGTTTTGGTACCCAGCACTATGTTGGGTACCAGTTGTTTACTAGAGATTAACCTGCCGTGGAGTGGTATCCCATTTAGGTAAGAATGTATCACAATTCTTATCCCTTGTATCATTAAATCCGGAATTCAGCACCGGATCCTACGTGCCGTCTCAATAACAGGAGGGATTTAGCTGTGACATAATTACACTATTCGATTAGAGTATCCCAGAAGTTGATTTTGAGTAACTACCTTTCCTTTAGTCCATCACTTATAAATTAGGGATGGTTAGCGCAGATAACCCTCGAATAGATGTGCCGAAATTAAACAAACAAACCTTGATATAGATGAAATGTTATAAATTATTATTGTGTTTTAACTCTCAGTGCTTATAATACTAAAATATCGGATTGTGAGACACGCGATGGACACAGCATAGATAGCCCGTTGAGTATTTTGTGCCTGACAAAAAACAAAAACAAAACAGTTTGTAGTAAAAGAAAAGAAAAAATATCTACCAAATAAACTCAAGCAACTCAGTGAATAAGTATAATAGCATAAATCAAACATTCTTTTTTTTAATTTTCGGTAAATATACTAAAAGGTACTGTACCACAAGATTGTTTATCTGAAAAAGTAAAGTATAAACACAAATTATCATTATTATTTTGACTAAAATAGTTTTTGTTTGTTTGTTTTTATTCTGATAATCACGAAAAGCTAAGGAAGGGCTATTTGTCCTAACCATTCCTAATGTTGAACTGATAGAGTAGAAGGGAGGCAGATAGTCAACAGCACCCAATGCCAACTCTTGGGTTACTTTAAGCAAATGGTGGGATTTCATGGAATCAAGGTTTCCAGTAGTGGACATATATGATATAGTCTGTACATAATGTTCAAATAAGTCCAGTTAATTAACCGCGTCACTGGATTTCGAGACTTCCATGTAACTGTTATTGACTTGAGATTCAAACGCTGAGAGTATGGTTAATTATGATTAACCATAGCGCTAAGATTCAAAATGTTATATAAAAGATAACCCTTGAGGTAAAACAGACAGCTTAGCCTAATGACCTAAAGAAACGTTTTATGCCTCTAACGTGGAATTTTTTTAAAGTGGAAAGATGTGGTCACGATAATGTAAAAGTGGATTTTACTAAAGTGGAAAGATGTGGACACGATGATGTAAAAGTGGATTTTACTAAAGTGGAAAGATGTGGTCACGATAATGTAAAAGTGGATTTTACTAAAGTGGAAAGATGTGGACACGATGATGTAAAAGTGGATTTTACTAAAGTGGAAAGATGTGGTCACGATAATGTAAAAGTGGATTTTACTAAAGTGGAAAGATGTGGACACGATGATGTAAAAGTGGATTTTACTAAAGTGGAAATGATGTGGACACGATAATGTAAAAGTGGATTTTACTAAAGTGGAAAGATGTGGACACGATAGTAGTACGTAAAAGTA